AGAGTAGTAGTAGAGAGAGAGAGAGAGAGAGAGAGAGGAGTCGAAGGTCCCTTATTTAGAGAGAGAAAGGGGGTTATCTAGAGAGAGAATGGCCTCACGTAGAGCATGTCTCCCTCTCTCCCTCATGAGGCAGCTACCCACCGCCCTATGTTGTGTCACAGGGGGGATCTACACAAGGATAAACTCTCTCTCTCTCTCTCTCTCTCTAAACCAGGAGAGAAGGGAGGAGTGGCGCCCGTGTTGTGGTACAGTGCGGCCCCTTTCTACTTTGGGTAAACAACACCTCCACGCCTGCAACTTACTGAAAATAGAAACCTACCGTTCCTTACCTGCCCTAAAAATTGACCAAAAATGACCATTCTGTATCCAAAATTCACCTGAGGGCATCGGGTTTTCCAAGCCGGAAATGCTCCTCTCTCTTTTGCGCAAGGCCCAAAATTTGAACACTGAAATATGATATTTTTGTGGAGGAAAATAATCTGAAAAATGATATTTTTGTGGACGAAAATAAACGAATTAGCTCGTGGCATCAATCTTATCTTATACTATCGCCTCAAATTGATGTTCTCGACCTCGAGATATATGAAAGTGACAGATAAAATAAATTTCAAATTTTTAACAAAATATTTAGATCGGTTATTTTAAAATTATCAAGGGTTTATAGATCTATTCAATTATCTTGTTTTTAAAATTTTAAATTTCATAACTAAGATGAAAATAAATGTTCCGACCATTATTCGGATACTGAACTACATCTCCAAGTAAAATTTAGAATAAGAAAGTTGCATCATAGAAATCTCACCCTTTTGAAAATATCTTAACCACAAAGGATAGATACCAAAAGAAACATTCAGTTCTCAAAAATAGTGCACTTGTAACGTATCATTGGGAGCATCCATTTTCACGAATTTTCAAGTATTAATATATGTACTCAATCTGCACTATATTTGAAACTATAATTTTTAAAATTAATAGTAAAAATATTTATTCAAGGTATCATATAGATTTATTAACACCAAAATTATATCTTCCAACAGGAACGTGTACCTTACTTTGATAATCTGATAATCTGGCATTAATCCTCATATAAACTGCATCGTACTTCATGAATGGTAATATCAGATCGATCTCTCTCTCTCTCTCTCTCTCTCTTAAGCTCGACCGAAAGATCGACGTAGAAAGTAGAAAGAATTCATCCCCACTCAACGCACTCTCATTTTACAATGTCGAGGAGAAGTGTGGCCGTATAAGGATGATTTATTACCTTTTCTAATAAAAATGAGGCGCTAAATAAATGTATATGAAGAAACCATTTATTCTTTATACAAAAAAAGCCAATTTTATATGGTTGAAGATGTATCATTTTTTAGGCACAAAGTCCAAAACTCTATTCGAATACTATAACAAACTTTTATTTCTTAGATGTTTCATTCAATGGCTAAAAATAATTTTGACTTCCTTATTTAAAAAATAAATAAGATTGTACATTGTAAAACCATTTACTTTTGATATAAAGCTGTCACGATTATTTTTAACCATTAAAAAATTTTATTTTAAACTTCGTACTAATCAATAAAACTCCAGATTTGATTTCACAACCAACGACCAATAATAATTGTGACCTCCTTGTATAAAAAATACATCGTATCATTGTATACATTTCCAAGACATATTCGAGAGGACTCCAGAATTCAAAGCACTCCTCTCTCTCTCTCTCTCTCTCTCTCACTCGACACATGAACCTGATTCAAATCATTTCAGTATGTTGATTCTCGTATATAAAACCGATAACCTCCCAAATATGGTAAAACCAGGATAACATTTTAGGAAAAATATCAGTCAAATATCATAGAGCGTACTTTCTGTCTTAAATTACAGGTCAACTATAAAATGACTACAAATGAATAAACAATAAATAAAGAGAATAATAGCATCTGACTTTGGTCTCTTTTATTCTCACTTCATTTATTGATGAGCCATATGAGATACGTACATGGGGAATATTCTTTAGGATGGGGTTGCTATAGTCAGCCAGCTCATACTGTACATATGCAATGTCCCGCTTACACCTATCTTAAAAATGGATTTTTAATCTAAAATTTTAGGGATTCATGATCAAAGTCAAGATGATAATAAATATTAAAAAATTAAAATTCAGCATTTAAAATATAAAACTTAATTAGCATTCTTGCTCTGTAGAAGTGTCTGGTTCTACTAATTTGAGTTACGATTTCTTATTGTGTGATGCAATGAGGAACGTGCTAGTGACGATGTGAACAGTGATGATACAGGTGGCGGAGTAGTGGCGGTAAACCAGTACCATCATGGAGTGGGTAAACTGGGGTGGTAATGGTGGCAGCTGCAGTAGATGGTGCTGGTGCTGGAGCCAATGATTTGGCAGGGGTGGTGGTGGTGGTGGTGCTGGTGGTGAAGCAGGTGGTAGAGCAGTAGTGGTGAAGGCGCCGTGCAGTGGAAGTGGTGCCGTGCTGGTGGTCGGGGGCACATGGCAGAGGTGGAGGCAGGACGGTGCTGATAGGGCGCTGGCGAATAATGGAAAGGCGGTGCGAAAGCAAGTGGCAGAAATAGAAGGGTGGAGTGGTAGCGATGGTGGCAATGGTTGTGGGGTGTGGGAGCAGGTTTTGCAGAAAAGAACAATCGAGTATTGAGTGTACCCAAAAAAAAAAGGATCAAACCTAGGAAAAATGGTCTCCAAATTCGATAAGCAAACCGGCCTTCAAATTGGAAAATTTGGGGATGGGTATCCAATGGCCTAGAAGGTATGACTACCAGATCAATACTGAGAAAAGAAAAATAAATAAAAAAGAAATAAAAAGAAGATCAGAAGTAAATATTTGCTCATTCAGTCATAAAAATGCTTGCAACCTAAGATTGACAAAATCTCTCCTCTCCTTTACGCAAAAAATACTTCACAAAAATTATGGAGGAAAACATATCTAACAGTTTCTCAATATGAAAGAGAGAGAGAGAGAGAGAGATATTCAAATTACACAACCTGAACTGAACCCAAAAAATCACGAGCCGTGGTTAGATGTCGTATCTCAAGGTAGCTTTCCATGCTATGCCAATAAAGACCCCAAAATCCAGCCACCGAGCGGCACATATTACATTCTCCCTGATTACCAACCATGGACCATAAATTAGAATGCAAATCACATAACAAAGAATTAAGCCATCAAACCACCCATACACCCATACAAATGAGAGAGAGCGAGAGGGCAATTTTGGTCACTTGTTATGTTTCAGAGGGTAGTAAGCGTTACTAAACTAGAGCATTTATTGATTCAATAAAGCGCGGGCAAGCGCATACACAAACACATACAGACTCTGCATGTTTGATCACTTCATAAAAAGGTGGAGATAGATATATGTAGCGCTACTTCAATCACTCAAAAGTTCGTCAGGACCATTTGTTTTTTTTTGCATGTGTGTCAGAGAGAGAGAGAGAGAGAGAGAGAGAGAGATATGATCATTACCCACATCCAAGGAAGAAACACACACTGAGGCTCTCAATGCTTGTGAGAATGTTTCCGACTAATAAAATGCCCATCTCTGTTTTCTCGGCTTCTTCTCACAATAACTCCAAAAGCCATTGAAATAATACCAACAGCCGCCATCGCATAGAAAGCTCGATAAGGGGCTGAGGCCAAGCCAGAGAGATAGCAATAATAACCAGAGAGGAAGTAAACAGCACTTAAACCCATTTGTCGACCTCGTGCCATTGGAGATGGGAACAAAAGCGCATTACAATCTGGTTTCACTCCACTGACTCCATGAAGGATGATGCCTAGTGAGAGAAGTGAATCTGCAAACCAGGGAATGCTCTGATCCATCCCTATTCTCTGTTTCAGACCCAAAAAAAAAAGAGTGGGATGCTATCAAGATCAAGACTGCTACTAAGCAAGTCTTTTTTCCTTTGGTTCAGAATTCTATTACTGAGAGAAGTTATAAAGATCACATGTAGCACTAATCCTCGAATTATTAGTCTTTAATAACAAGAAACTCGTGGCTATTGTTACAAAAAATAAAGCATAGAAGGAAGTGAAAATCAAATGATGTCGTCATATAGAAGTGAAAAAAATAAAAGTAAAATATTGCAAGAATATTAGCAAAATCAACTTCATAAACTGTATCATCCAGAGGAGAGAGAAACTTTGATTCTACAAGACCAAATCTATCTATGACTTCAACTCAAACAAGAGAGACTCACAAATAGAAAAGCCAAGAGAGGATTGTTTTAAAGACTGGTCCAGACTAATAAACCCCAACAGTATTTAGGTCATCTAGAGTAGATCACTGATAATCTCATAATGAGGCTAATGAATAAATGAAGTTCATTATCTTCATCAACAATTTCTCCAACATTTTATATTGTAACTGAGTCACTAGGGACAAGTCAAATTTCTATACATGAAAAGCACTCAACTCCAACAATGTCTATGGCTTTCTCTAGGTTTGTCTTTTGACAAATCTTCCAACATTAGATTTTTACAACATAGTAATCTCAAATTTGAAATGTTGGCTTTTGCAGGAGAACTTCAAGTGCGAGCAATCCATGAGAATAATAGGAAGTGCAGAAAATGTTTGTACTAATTTCTATACGATTTAATAAGAAAGGATATAACTAAATACCTGGCCCCAAGCAATAAGGGATGGAACAAGCATGAGTGTTGCAGTCAAGTGCAATAGGAGGAGGCCCAAGCGATATTGGAAGGCCTCAAGCTGTGTATCACCAAAGCTCTTAGCTGAGTTTGGGCTGCCAGAACTGTGCTCATCCAATGGTAGAAGAGGATCATGTGTTACATTGTTGGATCTTGATCGAGAAGATACATCACCATGGCTCCATGTATTCTGCAAATTTTCCTTTCTTTGTGTATGACTGCGAAAGGAAGCCGCCAAAAAACTGTTACAAAAGCAGGAACTTGTCTCTTAGATTTTCACAGATAAAGCTAAAATTGTGATGCAATGGGCAAAACACATAATCAAGACGCGGTTGTGCCACGTTGATATTTCAGACTGTTCATTTCTTAAGATGCATTCACTAGTGCGAACTGAGAATGGGAATCCTCACTTGATTTATTCAAAGCTTACAAGCAGTCACTGCTGCTTTTTACTACTAGGCCATGAAGACAACCAGAAAAGAATATCTCGTAAAATTGCATGCACAAAATTTATTTGAAAAGGTCATTGTTTCAACAATTAGATCTCACAGAAAGATGTGGAAAAGAATGACCCATAACACAATGAATCCCTTCATGAAGATTCTAGGCCACGAGAAAACGCAACTTTCCTGACCTTTGACCTAGTTGCTGGCTTTCTGCCAGTTTTGTGTATGGCCTTCCCATTTTGCATTCTTATCAATCAGAATAGACAAAAACAAGTATGATGAAAGGATTATTTGTGCATGTGAATTTTTCTATCTATGCACACACACACACACACACACACACACACGCACGCACACGCGCGCACGCACACGCACAAAAAGACATGTAAACTTTTCTTGACACACCTGCACAGAGCAGTGTGACAATTTGAAGCATGTGATAGTAGTAGTACAATCAGTCCAAGTGCGGGATGAACAAAGCAGACCAATGAGATTGCAATCAAAGCCACAATGAGAGTTGGATTTCCTTTCAAAACACGCACCACCTGGTTCCCCAAAGAATAAATTAGAAACCAAAATGAGAAACTCATCTAAATGTCCTAGTTGCAAACTGAGTCAGTGGCTGATTGCTAGTACAAAGAAATAAACCCCAAAATAATAACCAGAAAATTTAAGCAAGAAATCATCGCATTCAGAAATGCGTACCTTAAATGACGATAAGAAGGTAAAACACTGACTACGAAATATCATGGGGAAACTCTCCTCCCACGCATGCCATCTGCAAAATAAAACCCCACAACACAAATAATTATTTTCATCACAGAAAACGAGAAAATGCTGACAAATAACAAGCAATCATAAATCAACAAAATCCTATTGAAGTTTTTGAAATAAACAGAAGTTTTCCATTGAGACAACATTTGCTCTTAGGTACAAGAAAGATCATTGCAGACTTAAAAACCAAGGACAGTATAGTTATTTCTCAAAAGATAATTGAACGCTTGGTCATCTCAGAGTACAGCGGCATAAATGGCTCACACATCCACTTTCCCGGAGTTGATTAACAATCTTTCACTTTACCCATAACAGATAATCAAGATCACCTTTAATTTCCCTTTATAAATAGTAATAAATAAAATTTAGTTAACCTTAAATTTAGAGATAGTTACTTCACAAAAATTCTTGATGTGTGTCAACGAGAAAACTTCTTGATGTATGTGTATTTCAGAGAGATAGAGAGAGAGAGAGAGAGAGAGAGATCCCTGTAATTTAAAATACCATGAAAAAAAAGGTGCATAATTATGTTCACCATTTCATCAAATTCCTGTCTGAAATGTTTAAATTCTGCTTCAAGTACATAATCTGAAATAAGATGCGAGAATAAGCCATAGATAGTCTTGCATACCTTTGTTTCATAAAGACTTGAACAGTTGCAGCCACATGAAAGACCATCTGGGAGCAGAAGATCAGAATGATCATAGCCCCATTGGCAAATGCATAGCACAGCATAGTGACAATGATGAAGATAGAAAACAAACGAGATGGCTGAGAGGTGAACAAGGAGAAGACCACAAAAACAACCATAGGCCCAAGAGCCATTACAAGAAACGGTAACAACATCCACAGATTAGATTCAACAGCCATCAAAATTGAGGGCATTGGTAAATCAAGCTCCCATGCCCGAGCTTGCCGTGCCAGAGCAAAAAATAAGACTGCAATGCACAATCCGACAGTCTGCAATCATAACAAGTTTTCAAATTAAGAGACATCATGAAGCACTTAAAAGGAAAAACAAAACAAATTATATTATGGAAAAAGGTCAAACATAGTCAATAGAACTCCAATTAACCGTAACAAAAAAAAAAGATTAAACTAGATAATTTCTAAAAAGAATCTTGAATTAAACGAGAGAAGGATTTAGAGGATCCTCTATTAGTTAACTGCATTTATATGGGTCGGTCAGGCAGTGTGGCCCATGTGGCCTGGGGGTTCTTATCAGACTAAGAGTTCATGGTCCAGACAAGCACAGCATGGCCACACATACAAAGGAAGGGCCCTAGCTGAGCCCGTCAACCTGGCAATAGGCCGGGCCAGGATTGACGCCCTTTGTCTCAGGCTAGGGTCTTGGCCTGCAGTGCCAGACCAGGGTCATGGACAAGACCAACATGGGTCCAACCAATTGCCAAGCCAAATGGGATCTTAGATTGAGTACGTTCAATGGAGATTGGGTAACGCCTGAATCTTTCTTTATGTCAACGAAGGAACGTGAGGGTAAGAGGTGGACACAGAGCCGAGGTCCTATGGCTATCAGAGCATCAAGATTTGGAAAGAATGACAAAAAAATTTCAAGGTGGACAGTTCCCCAAGATTAGGGGCATTAATGTGTCAGTTCGGGTCCAGGTTGACCCTAACCTAGACTTGGACCTGACCTGACTGGGTCCTAACTGGACCTAGATCCATTGGGTCCAGGTCATTAGACCCAAACCAGACCCACCAGGTTAGGTCAAGTCTGAGTCTTGATAAATATCAGATCGGGTGAGGTCAATAAGGCCCAGGATGGACCCCAGTCACATCCAGGTCATTTGGACAAAGACCTGACCCACCGAGTTCAATATTTGGGTCTAAACCTGGGTCCATGTCGCATCAACCATTGGGTTCGGTGGGTCAAACAGACCCAATTGCCACCCCTACCCTAGATGTGGGGATTGTCAATAGGGACAGCACTCCCTAGGCATCATGAAGATCAGCTTCTCTCCAGGAAAGGATACAAACATTCTAAAATGGTAGTCGCAGAAAACCAATAGAACTTGCAATGCTTGTACTTCAGAAAAAAAAAAAAGAATACACACACCAGTGTTCGCAAAATCGAACCGGAACGGTTAACCGGTCATGAAGATGGGAGCGGTTCGAACCGGAACCGGACTAACCGGAGCGGTTAACCGAACTAACTTGTCAAATAGATTTTTAAAAAAAAAATTGGGTCAAAAACCCCCAAAAAAAATTAAAAAAATAGAAAAACTTAGATTAAGTATATACTATCATATTACATATATTTATCTTATAAAAAAAAATTTGAAACAACCTTTTACATAATTTAATATTTGAATAGTATGGAGATATGAAAGACAATTTATAATTTCACATAAATTCAATTGATGAAGTTACAAAGTCCAACTAACAATGGATGATGCAACAATATATGCTTCTATATTGTTTTGATGTTGTTTTAATGCTGATGTTGAAAAAAGTTGTTTTAATGTTGAAAAACCCTTTAATATAGTTTAGAATTGGGTTTGAGAACATATTTTTTTATAGCATGATGTTACCAGTCTTGCGAAGGGTTGTGAGTCAAGGTAGTAAGAGAGAACACCTCAAGTGCTGCTTCAAATGGCCAAATCGCATATTTTAAAAAAATATGCCAAGTCGATTTTCAAATGGCCAAATCGATTTTGAAATGGCCAAACCTCATTTAATCAGTAACCTTTTGAGTTGGGTTTTAACATGAAAAAAAAAAATTATAAGATGGCAACTTTAAAATGTAGAATTAAGATGCATATTTTAAAAAAACAACTTAATTTTTTATCCATTTCAGCATGCGGAAACATGAGAGATGAGTAAAGCACTTTTTAGTTTCTACCTCTTTTCTTCATAGAGGCTAATAAACAGATTTAAGGACTACAAAGTTGCAACAAATGATAGATAGCTTGTAACAAATAAAAAAACAAATTAGAAGAAAATGTCACAACCAAACAAGAAGTTGAGAACACAGAAAACAGTAGTAACACACACCAAAAAGAACATTAAAAAGAAATTTTTTTTCTCATATTCATCACAAAAAAATATTTTTATAAAAAATATATATAACATTAAAAACAATCGAACAAGGTCACCAAAAATATATACCATTACAAATAAAGAAATATTTTTTTCTCATATTCATCACAAAAAAACATATGTTTGCAAAAACAATATATAACATTAAAAACAATCCAACAAGCTCACCAAAAATATATAAAATTAAAAAAAAAAAATTCTTATATTCATCATAAATAGCATATTTTTATAAAAACAAAACGTAATTTTATTAAAAAAACAACTTTTTTTTAAGAACACTAAAATCTAGCCAAAGAACATAGAAACTTTAGAGTCAAAATCAACCCCAAATCTTTCATTTTTTGAACAAATTGACATGGGGATATGATAGATACTTCAATTAAGATTCAAATGCCCCAAATTTCATGAAGATCCATTCACTATTGAGATAATTCTTCAAAAAATTGCGGATTTTTCACTTCACGAAAATTTCAGGAAAAAAAAGCAGCAAAAAAAAATCGATATAAAAACATTTAATCAATGGTAAATCAAAATAACTAGTTTATTTGATAGATGAGGCCTTGATGATCAAACTGAACTAATCAATTCGATAAAAATTGATCAATTGATCGATCAGAATCAATTTGTTTGGATAAAAAACAGTTCTTCGAGCAGCAGTACTTTTGTGTCCAAAAAAGCCTCAAATCGTCATCGTTTTGGAAAATTTGAAATATGTAAACGTTGAATCCTTCAACAATGAATCAAAGCCCTCCACTTTTATGAAAATATATGAGGTATTGAAGCTGCATTTGATAGAATGGTGGATATTTCTAATTTGCAAAAATCACCAATTCAATCAGCCAAGAACTCTTTGTTTTTTGACTTTTGATTCAATAATCGATGATTTATAGAAACTTACCAGTGTATAACATCAATAATTGAGCGAAAAAAATATAAAAACCGGAAAATGGAATAAAAAAAAGATGCAAAAGCTTTATTTAAGGGTTCTGTGAAAAATAACGGGCATGTGTCAAATGACGGCCGTTATTTGATGCGTTGAAAACGACGTTATATCGAAAGGTAAACCGGACCGGTTACGAAAAACCAGCCGGTTTAGAGTAAATACCCAGTTTTGGTGCCAGTTGTTTTTGGAGAACGGCTTCTATTCATTAGGACCACAAAACCGGCCTTAACCAGAGTCGGTACCTTGCCAGTACCGATCTAACCGGCCGGTTCCGGTTTTGACCGGCCGGTTTTGCGAACACTGACACACACACACACACATATATATATTAAAGATCAGTATATAACTTGAATTCTTCTGCAAAGGTGGAATATTATGGACTATTCAAGATCAGAGATTTATTGGAGCACCATAATAAATGGTTGGTACTTAAAAATAATGAACTTCAATGATCAATCCACGAATGGCAACTCAAGGAAATCAAAATACTCATTACCTGTGTTCCATGCAAAAGCAAAAATCTACTGGCTGCAGCAGTTAGAGACACAGCTATCCTCACTCTATAGGAACAATGTGGATCCACCTGCAAGGAGGTGAGTAGCACCTATATAACGTGCTCAAGCACATTAATTTGACTTTATGCACAACAATATACAGTGCATAAGAGATCAGCATACCATTAAGAAAGCTGTAGTTGTTTGAGACCTTAGGGCCGCTGATCCCCAGAATGCAGGCGACGAGTCCACAGCAATTGTTTCAGAATACAAATTAGGGATGACATGCAGACCAGATGTTGAATCCCAAACAAGTGCCACAGGTGGGAAGCAACGCAACTTGCAAAGACCTGTAATGCACAGAGATCAGGTATCAAAGGTGTACCATGACATGCCTTAACCCCGTGATATAAGGTAAACCCAAGTATGAGTCCAAAAGGCAGTCAAATAGTCTTATGGAATTCAGAAGAACCAAGAGGCAAGCGCAATAGACACCATGTTCCATATAATGTACGCACAGAAGCACAGCATGGGTATTCTGCAGATTGCCATTGCTACATAATAGCATTTTCTCTCCATAGAGTGTGTGTGTGCGTGTGTGTGTGTATTTATTTATTTTTATTTTTATTTTATTCTTTAATGTAGCTAAACTGAGCCCATAGCATTGGAAAGAAAACCGCTGAATCCCAAACCAGAAAGATGGGGAGATCCTTACTGCTATGTTCCACATCACCAGCTTGTTCAACAGGGAGCCCAGAATTTTTAATGCCGCAACCTATAGTAGATAGTGATAATGTAACAGGCAAAAGGCCCAAGCTTATTGCGAATGAGAAATTCAAAACCAGAGGGTGATCTTCTTTTAACACAATTTCCTGCATACAGCAAATAGGTGATGGCAGTGAAAAACAATATCCGTACAAGATAATTTTTTGAGGTATTTCTTAACAATTTCAACTATATATCAAGCAAATGGTTACTGCTAGACAGCACAAACAAACCTCTTGCATGTAGCTAGAAAGAAGCAGTGACTGTGGAGAGAATTTCTTTTCCCCTTCTTTTGGATTAAAGAATTGTCCAACCGCCATCGAAGCTGCAGGAGGAGGACGACCAGATACAGTCTGGAAAAGAAGTGTCTTGAACTTTATCTCCATGATAGAATCTCAACTAAATGATAAAAAAAAAAACAAATTGCTAATACAAAGGCCTGGAGATTACCCATGAGATGGCCTAGCACATATCCCTTCACAATAAAGTAAAACAAAAAATAAAGAAAGGAAAGCCAAGTTGTAACTTATACACAATGAAAGATTTCCATAAAACAAAAACAATAAAGTTTTTCAGGATATATAAATAAGCTCCACCAGGCCAGGATGGGATATACTTGGGAGAGCCATTTATTTACAAGACTCGCAAACCATGAAAAACCATAGAAACCAAGGGTTCTAATTTTGAAGAAACACTTTATATTTGGGAAGGGAATGCAAAAACTATTCAACCTGTTAAACCAAATTAGTTCACTTGGGGTCTCCATAAAAAGATGACCACGACAATCAGGACTCAGTGACAGACACTTGGTGTTCGGAAAGAGAATCGCTGCAAATGCAAAGACAAAAAAGTAATGCAGGGGATGATTGCATTGCATGACTTATCTTAATAAATGAAAAGACAGTCACTCTTGCAGAAATATTGTTACCAACACAAATCAACTCCTCAAAACAAGCAAAAATGGGAAGTGGTTCAAAATAATACCGGACGAGGTGCAACTGAAATTGTCAAGTATCGAAAACCATGCAACTCTTCCGGGCCCAGTTGCAGAACAGCAGACGGAGGAGCCTGTTCAGTTTGACTTCCAGGCTCAATCTGCAAATTGCAGCAAATTCAGTAAATAATGTGGCTAATTCCATAAATAAACAACATAACTTTAGCAATTATCCCTTGATGGATAATATGAACAATGTCGGCTGCATCATTCACACAAATAAACGGCATTCAGCAACCAACCAGTTTGCTCAGAAACAGGTCATATGGTAAATAATATGCATTATGTCTCTGTATTGATATCACTAAGAAGTGCCAACTGCCAAATGCAATTTTTATGTTTGAAATAATAAGAATACAGCCATAAACAGAAGCTTTCAAACTAAAAGCAAAATGGAAACATATGAATAATTTTAGGAAGTTTCTAATACAGTGGTCAATACCTGCCTTGGTGCTGGTCCAGCGGGAATGTTAAGCATCTTTGATGTCACCTCAACAACTCTTGTACTTGCAGGAACTTCATCTTCGGTTTGTGATTTTCTCCTCTCAGGCCAAAGGTGAAGCCTGACACCAGAACAGGGCGCAAGGTTTGTAACGAATACAAAGTGATCCTTCCCATTTGATCCCTAAGAAATGGAAGAAAATTTAAGGTTGATAAAAGTCAAGAAATCCATGTAAAAGAAAACACAAAATCTCAATTAGCCAAAGAAGGGACTCAAGACAAAAATGAAGTTTCTAAATACAGATTAAGATTTCATTCAAAGAACAAGGAACTTTCCATTCAAGTACCCAGATTTAAATTGAGATAAAATCCCTCCTACTACAGCTGCTTAAGTGGATGATGACAATCTATTTCTCTTTTATTAAGCTATTCATCACGACTAGATGACTTCTTTCGCTTGAAAGAAAGAAGAGATAGGCAGTAGCAGCAGCCCAAAACATATTATTTTTGCTTTTTCCGTTATATTTAAAAAAGGATACAATCATAGCATCTCACTCACCAAATATATGTTTTCAAGCATCATCATCATCGTCATCAAAGCCTTTTCCCAACTAATTGGGTTTGAAAATATATGTTTTCAAGCAAATATATTTTTTTCTTATGAATGAGATGTATGTTTTTGTGGAGTAGCCAATTTTAGCATGTGATGAAAAAATGAATTAGACCTGGAGAATATTATGGTCATTTTCTTTAATAATGTACACCAATGCGCATGATGTACTATACTTAAAACCCAAAACATATTATTTTTACTTTTTTCCACTATATTTAAAAAAGGATACAGAAATAGCATCTCACTCACCAAATATACGTTTTCAAGCATCATCATCATCGTCATCAAAGCCTTTTCCCAACTAATTGGGTTTGAAAATATATGTTTTCAAGCAAATATTTTTTTTTCTTATGAATGAGATGTATGTTTTTGTGGAGTAGCCAATTTTAGCATGTGATGAAAAAATGAATTAGACCTGGAGAATATTATGGCCATTTTCTTTAATAATGTACACCAATGCATATGATGTGCTATACTTAAAACCATGCCACATATGAATGAGCTGAGACACTAGACTGCAAAACAATAGATCGCCTATCCATTCTTTAAGCCTAGATAGTTTACCTACAGAAATCTATACAGTTTCATGACCATTAGGAAATGAATTTCAATCAGGATTTATAACACCATCCCAGGATCTGCATCTCAACATGGTAGGAAATATGGCCACACCACATAATACTTATTAAACAAAGTCACACGAGTGTTGGGACACGTCAATGATCAAAATGCATCCACATGCAATGCAAGGCCAATATTGTCATGTCTGGGAAACGTTATCCTTCTCAAAGGGGCATGAAGTTCCACAAACTTGAACTACACTGACATTTTCTATACCATGTGCTATTTTATACTCTATTCTTAGAGAAAAGGGACAGGAAATCTTATGTTCAACTAGAAACCTTGAAGTCACCTATTTTACCCTTTCCTATTTTGGGCCCTAGAATCACACCTCCCTAGACAGTATAGAGATCATACTCCAAAGTTTGACTATGAAAAGATGAGTGTTCCTTTCTTTCCAGCAACACCAGATCACCATAAGTATGCGGCCCGCTATACCAAAGAAAAAATCTCCTTTGATTCCCACACAAAGCCCTCCATTGGATTCCAAATCAACCAAGGTCATAGGCATAATATGATCTTGAAAGAAGTTTTGTACTGTCCCAACATTCTGAAAGGCATGAGGTATAACCCGTGAGAGTGGAATTTAGTCATCTCTCATGGGTGTTGGAACTTATAAAGCTACCATCCAAGAGAAAACAGTAGCCTGCAACAGCCACATGGCAAAAGCCTTCAATTAGCAATACGAGTGAACTTTGAAGTAGCGAGGAATTGGCAGATGAATTCGGACCACACTTGTCCTTCCATTTCCCAACAGGTTTCAAGAGAGAACACTTGGTTCTCCAGGTGGCAAAACCAAATGCTGCAATTTTTTCTTTAATAAGTTGGTTTCCAAGATTAGTTGAAGTGTAGAACCACTCTGGCCATTCAAATTAAATCTTAAAAAGTAGAAAGATCCCATAGTGGGAAGCATATCAAGTTATCATCAATCATCATCCAAGCCTTATCCCAATAACTTGATCGGCTAGGGAAGCATATCAAGTAAAAACAAGAAAAATGTATTTCAAAGCCACCACATTAACTTGAATATGTACATATTTAAAAACAGTGCTTAAAAGCTCAGGAAGTCAACTAAGGACTCGCACAAGATTACTTTCTTTGAAAACCTGGCAAGTCCCATTGAAATACCATGAAACCTGCCTGAGTCTTGACACTTTTAAGCCCCTACTTACTTTACCAGAGAATGGATAAGTCTAAATGAGACTCGGCCCAATCGGCTCACCAAACTCAGACTTGGGACCCCAGTGAATCCCATCTTGAGTCTGAATTTCAAAACGTTGGTTAGGAGAAACAGAGAGTTCTTCACACAAGCATGAATAAATTGGGTGATCATGAAGATCCTGGGACATATTTTAGGAAACTATAAGCAAATACATGGAAAAGAAAAGAAGATTGCACAATTTGGAACGTTCCTATACCGAATTACAATGATTAAAGAGCATAACTCAATACAAACCAATTAAAATTATGTTCATAGGTCATTGAAAGAATAACACATATAACCAAAAAGAAAAAAAAGATGTCTCACGAAACAAAAGAATAAATGGACCTAACATGTTTGTGTTTTTGTTTGGGTAAATGACCTAAAAGGTTCAATAAGAGAAACTTAGATACACAAACCAGTTTCATTATGTCCATCCACCGCCTCCTCCCATCCATTGCCAAAACAGTCACTGTGGGTATACTGATGTATAAATCTCTCTCAAGGCTGTCATCAGTCCAATGAACAGAGCTAGGGCAAGGAGAGTTACTCATAATTGCCCTTGATCCTGCATCACCAAATAAAGAAAATTTTAAATTTCCATAAAGGTAAAAAAAAAATAATATATATATATAGATATATCAAACCAGCAGAAAATCAGATCCCTTTGGATACTTCTACAGATTCAGCAATCTCCAAAACCATTAAGTTTATTAAAGAATTACACAAAGAGAATCACGACAACCGACTGACTAACTATTTCCATCCTCAAATAAGTGAACCACCAATATGACAACCTTCAACAACTTGAGAGACACCAATATGACAAATGGATAAACCATGAACTTAATCGGTGATGTATGGTGAAGAAAACCTCCTTGAACAAACAAGAAAATGACAAGAAATCCCGTTTCCCCGACGTGCCACAGACATTCCTCAAAGGAATACAACCTTTTCTTGGATCTTACACAACCAAGATGTGCAGAATAATCTAATGAATTAAGCTTACAGTCTCCAACAAGCTCCATCCATGTTGTCATCGCAAAGCAAACGTCGGTTTCCAGAAATCAATGTCAGTAGACACTTTTGTAAGATAAACATCCAGTAAGCCAAAATAATTGTCATAAAAGCATGTGCTCATTACACTTGACACTAACATCGTGTATATTAGCATTAAAGAACCTGAAACCTTCACTATTAGAAAGAGCATAAGCAAGGGAAAATTTTGGTAATGACTAAGCATACCAGCAATATTCTCTTCATTCTCTACAGACAAGTGCTTGGAATCATAGGAACGTTGAGCGCACTTCATCCAATTAAAACTCTGTGGTATCCCACTCCGAAGCATTTTCATGAATACATCTAGCCTTTTGCGTGTAGTAGGGAATGGTTGACCAGATTCAGCATCAACCAAACTCAAAAGCGTGTGTGACACCTTCATTGAAGTGAAGATATGTCACAACTAACACCAGGCGAAATATACACAGTTGATAACACATAGAAGGGATTTTTTTTTGGTATTTTTTTTTTTTTTGAGAAATACATAGATGAGAAATTTTAGACTGCAATACCTGGATGACTAGTTGATTACACCATAAAATAGATTGATGCTCCATTGAAAGCCACACATTCTTCATACCTGGGGTACCAATCATAAAACCATGACTGGGAGGTATAATACCATCTAGTGATGCCAACTTTGACCGAACCTGAAAAAAGAAAACTAGCATGAACTTCACCATATGGAACAATAGGCAAATGATGAGAAAATCAAGACACCCAATAAAAGCTCAGAAGCACCAAAAAGGCATGAAAGACTAGCTCTCACACACACATGCGCGTGCATGAGCACGTGCCTGCCCACACACACACAGACTTGCATTAGCCTAGTCCCTATGTTTGCCACCTCTCTTTGTCAATTTGTTTGGCCCCAAATTTTGAGGATAGTCCCTAAAACTAAATGAATAAATTCAAAGAAAACAAAATAAATAAATAAATTGGGCACATCTAATCATAGATCTAACAGTGCCCCCATAGACAGATAACAGAGCCTTAATTTTTCCCTCATCAAAAACCATTTTTAGTTTTTTAAATTTTTTTCTTGGGGACATTCACTGGGGTCAAGAAGATGTGTATAAAAAAATGGCCCTAAAGATAACATAAAAAAAATTTGGGTTACGTATGGTGAAAACATTTCGTCCACCCAAAATCAAAATAAAAAATACAAGGAAAAAAAAAGAAAGCCACAAACAAACAGCACATACAAAAATTCAGCCCACAATTCAGATCGCAAGTGTGGCAATAACCACCTTAAACCATCAAATAAGTACCAAAGATATAGACGTGAAGAAGAAACCTGGTAATCACGAATGCCCCCAGTTATTGAGACAACAATGACATTAGACAGAAGTGGATCAGAAAGCCATCTCCCTGAGCGAGAAGTCTGGATCTCGTATCCCTTTCTCCAAGCATGATTTACTCGTGAAAAGAAATGACCTAAAGATGGCTGCAATGCAACTGGAGGGGACCTACACAAGTAAAATCCAATAATATTACTATAATGAGGCAATAAATCAGAAACCAATACAATCGAGTAACCTTGATGAATAGGTTTAAAGCAAAAAGTACTCAACTGGTGTGGACTCGAAAGAGTCACAATAGTTTCAACTGCGGACTTCCTTAAATGAGGGTGAACAATTACAGCTCGAGCAACAAAACCACCCATTGAGTGGCCAACCAATATCACACTTCTGGGCAAGCTTCCAAAATTGTCAGCACCTTCCTTAGACCGTGCATCACGAGACTCCTGGTATTGATCCAGTATCTGTTACAACAAAATAAAAAATTAAACATTTCATGATACTTATGCACAAACAACCAGGAACTAAAACTCGGTAAATATTATGCCACAGACTTCATTATTGTGTAAGACAATCATCTTTATAAGAAAAGAATGGATGAAATTTGATTGTACTGAGACGCTACAAGTTGAGACTACTTTTTTAAAAAAAAAACATTAGTTGAGATGTTTGTCTAATATATATGACGAAAATTTCTATGTTTTAGCATACTTGCAATATAGATTAGTACACATTTCTAATTCATATCAGTTTTTTACAGACCAGCCCTAGTTACACGGCTCGGTAGCCCCATGAGCTCAGGGGGATTAGATATAACAAAGACCAATACTCGCAATAGTACTGTACCCATGACAGTCTATGGGGTGGGTGGAAATCTGCCCCCCTTTGTCTCACCTTGGAGCCTCTAGAGAGCCCAATTTAAGAGTAAGTTTCATCCATATACTCATTTTGCACGATCAATCAACTCGATACATCAGATTAGAGAAACTAATAATAAAAATAAAAAATAAAGTTGATGCATTTGAGGGATCGAAAGTTCCAACCTGGGTTTTACCCAATTTTGAAGACTTCAAACAAATTCCTCACTACCGCTGGTCAATAATCAATGAAAGTTTATCCTTTAGCCTATTTTGAGTTCTTGATTTCATTGTAGGCATATTTCCCTCAAAAAGCCCCATAAAAAAATTATTTTAGATAGTTTAATATTCATTCAAAAATGTAAAGAGCAGATCTCCTACATCTAACTCGAAACACAAAAGTGGTTTGGGAGTCACGATTGGGGTTGCCTGAGGAAGCTTTGACAAGGAATGGAGACGTCGATTCGCATTGAGTGCAAAGGTCAGGAACGACAAGTTTTGCTTGAAAGTGTGAGTAATTAAATTCATTTATATTTTTTTAATAATATCACTTGATCTAGCATTATATAAGTCGTTGTTGCATTTTAAATTACAGTGTGTTACATTGAATTATCAACTAATTTCAGTGAGTACAACCTAATATCATCAAATCAGTATCGTTTTCCATATTTATGGCTAGTTGGGATGTTAAAAGAATTTGTTATCTAAAAATTTGCAAGTTTTTCAAGTACAAATTAAAGATTCCTTCTAATATTATTAAGTTGTTTGCTGTTCTTTCAATGTCCCTGCCCCCCCTCCCTCCCTCTCTCCTAAAATCTTCCGCCAGTCTGCTGCAGCAACCTTTGCCAACCTTACAGTGAAATATCTCAATTTCCAGCCATCTCTTCCCCATAAATAATGCAGAATATTGCACTTAATGCCCTGATTCCAACAACTCATTCTCTCGATCTTGAGAAATCGGCCGCAAAAACAGGGGCAAGAAGAACCAGCAAGCTACAAGGTCGAGTTCATATGCGCTACCAAATTCTAATTCGGCTGCTATTGCCACTGCAAAACCCCAATTTGAGGGCTCCGCCTTGGCCTCATAGGCCCAAGGCCAAAGCCCTCAGTCTCACCCATGATGCATCCCCCTCTGATGAGCCCACCCCCAAAAACCTCACTTTCCAGCAAGACTCCAACTGTCTGGTTTTTTAGGTTGGCCTATGGGACCTATGGTGGACTGCATATGGCTTTCCATGACCATATCAACAGTTTAGGGGCTTCCTGGTTATGGTGGGTAGGAGGTCAGGCTCTTCTGGTAATAGTGGTGGTCAGCACTATTATCCATATGCCCCAACTTCAATTTCCATGATGCAGCATGGTAATGGTGAGGAGAGGAAAGAGACAGTTGGTGTATTGGGTCTGCAGGGGGTCTCTTCATAAAAGAGCACTACTTTGATAAAGGCACAGAGAGAGAAAGCGATAGGTGTATGGGGGTATTGGGCTTGCAGGCGGTAGAGAGAGGGAAAGTGAGAGAGCTCGTCGGCCAGAGAGAGAGAGACTTTTTTCATCATGTTGGTTCTAGGAGGGTTAAGAAAAGAGAACTTGTCAACTGAAAAATTCAAGTGTGAGTTGAATTTTTTTTAGTGAGGTTTTTAGCCTTGTTGGGAGAGCTTTTGATCTTTCGATCTTAAAAGGTTGCTGTTATCCAAACTGTGAAAAGTGCAAGTTGCAAGATTTTTGGATGACAATCCAAAGAGCTGTTGTTTTCAGGTTTATCCTAACTCGCCATTATATACTCTTTTGTTGTTCATCATTTTTCTAAATTTTTAACCTTTGGTTTTTGTCTTTACTTTTTGGGGATTTCCCCTTTTTTTTGGAAATTGTTTTTAGTGCCTTTTCAATCTTGACATAGACTAGGGCTTCTCAACTCGGACTCACCCAAGTATCTGCGACTAAGACAAATTGTAAAACATTGGTACATGTAGATGGCATCTATGGTAGGTAGGCAAGTATGCATTTCATAGAATCCCCAAAAATGGTTTAATACTAAAAGTTGTATTCCCAGTATAGGGGACACATTTTTATCCTTCTAATAAATTTTTAGTTACCGATAGAAAAAAAGGTAAATGGAACACATCGGAACCAAGTCTTCGGGTACTATGGTCTAGATCTCCAGACATATAGTTCTTTAATATGACCTTTCTACACATACTTAAAATAAACACTATTACTCTACCAACTGTTACAAGTAGACTGGTACAAATATATGGATAATGAAAGAAAAGGTCAACAAAATATGTGAAATTACATTTAGAAAAAATAAAATACCTTCCATAAGGATGACTAAGAGAAGGTGACTTCCTAGAGCATAGAAGAACAATGAATGAATGGAAGGGAAACGGGAATTTAGTCTTAAATCAAGAAGGGCAGGAATTGGGAATAGCCAAGGCTGTAAAGAAGGGAAGGAAACGTTTTGCGATTTAATCCCAGAGGGAAGCAGGGCAACAGTAATGGAAAACTAGGGATATAAAGAGTATAAGAGTTTTCACTCTCACTCACATTCGTATACTTAACTTGATTTGACCAAGATATACTTCATAATTTATTCCAGAAATAAAGCATCCAACTTCATAAAATTTACCAACTGACTCATAAAGTATGGAATAATCGTGCCACACTCCCTTTACTAATCCCATCCATCAGAACCCTCTATATGTATGCATGTGCCAACCAACTGCTATGTCAATAGTACTGTTGCATACTTTAGTTCATGAGATCTACTTCACCCTAAACTACCTCGGATTTGTTTCAAAAGAATATGCTAACTTTATTAGTAAACAGAAAACGTACCCGATGAACAGCATACACCACATACTCAGTATGTTCTTCAAGTATACGCCCATCCATTGCAGAATGCTCCCCTTCAAGATCCACAGCAAACCAATCAAGCATGCATGGATACTGGTTCGGTGGTATAAAATTTTCCAAGTCTCTAGAAGAGATATCGTTCCCTCCCTCTTCCGGTGTAAATGCAGCATCTTGGTAAAATGTAGGCTCAAGTGGACCCCCTTGATAAGCCCTATCAGATTCCGCTGCCAAAGAACGCACCTACTTGCAAACAAATTGCAGAAGATTTCAGCAAACAAAACTAACACGAGACTATCTTCATGATTACTACAATTGAATCAAGAATAACACGAGTTTTGGTAAACATGGTTGATATGTATTGATGGCATGAAGTATATATCCTTTAAGATCACCATAGCCAATGGCAAGATACGAAGAAAAAAATGGAGAATACATGAAGTATATCAATGGCATGTGCCACATAGTTTTTTAAACAACTTCCTATGTACAACATTGAGTCTATGCAATGGGGTATGAAGCATAACCACATTGCAATGCACGAAAGTTGCATGGCAACATATACCAATCAAGGGATTCATTTTGGAAAATATTCCAACATAAATCATAAATCAGAAGGCCACAACCAATGCAGTAAGAAATTTTTTGTCGCAAAAGCAATAGCAACATTCATTGACTTCTAACCATTCAAAAAGTTAAAAAGAATAAGCCTATGCAGCTGCCTTTTTCTCTTTCCTTTTTTATCATCGTAAATGAAACTGAGGTGAAAAATAAAAAAGAATCAGAAAACAAAGATTTCCTTTACCAACAGTTGCAATGCCCTACCAAGAGCCAGTCAATGGTACCATGTCAGTGCAATGTCCAGGCAAACCTCATTCACCTAAACAACTATCATGGGGCTAATTTTACAATAGCCTAACCATCTATCACTGGCTCTTAAGTCTGGTTACCTAGCGGGAAAGTTCAGCCTACTCACATGCACCAACACACACATACATACACAAAGGGCCAGCTAAGATTCAACACCCATGGCCCAATTTTATTGCTCTATGCAGTTTCAAATGTACTGCACGAGATGCCCTCAAGGTTCTGGACCTAGGGTTTTATAAAGACTCCAGGTCAGTTACAAGACTTTGAATTTCAAAAACATAGGCCACCAAGCAGCCATCCTTAACTCATGATGGCCTGCCTGGTGCACCATTACAGCCACTCAAAAGACCAGTGGCAAGGTCCATTCTCTAAAGCACCAATGGCCGAGCCCTCATCTATATGAATTTTGAACTGGGCCACTACAGCCAAAAGCCAGATGCCTAGCTCATGCCCAACTTAATGCATTGCAAAGTCGCTTGCCCACCTGTGAACATGCATGGCAATGAGGCCTGAGCGTCCATGTACCACTCTCCACACCAGCCTTGTTTGCCACAGTCAGGCAGTTGGCCCTAAGTGGAGTACCTCCTCACATAGAGGTTTGGTAGTTTAAAAACTAGAATGCCAGGAGTAGTAGGTAAATTCCAAAAAAGTAGCGCAAGTCTGTATGGGATGTGCGACTCATTTGGAACTCGTGTCGAGACTGGAGGGTCATTTCCTTGTTTGTTGCAGTGTTATTATCTTCACTTTGCTTTGGGCAAATCACCTAAGTCTTCGGGATTTTCCCTCCCTCCCTCCCTCTCTAAATGTATACAAGAATAATAACTAAAATAAGGACATTAAAGGAAAACGAGAGTTTAAAATTTTTAAAAATTAAATTCATAAAAAATTACTATAGTGATAATTTGTTTTAATTTTTAATCTCTTTTAAAATTATCATTATATTATTTACAAATTTTTATATTTCCTGAACCTGTCTGAAGACTTCCCTTGAGTCGGCCGAAAAACCAACGAGCTTTTTTTCTGAACCAAAATGAAGAGCTCCCCAGAAGAGAATGTGATGACATTTGTTTGTTGGCTGAGCCAAGGGAGGTTCACACATCAAGCCCTCAGCCACCAGGCGTGCACCAAGTTGGGGTCTGGCACCGGCCATATGACATGTCCAAAAGTTATTTAGAAGCACAAAGTTTACCAAGATTACTGAACAAATTTCACCAAGATTACAAGCAGCAATGCACCTTTGTCATAACCCATTACCCCTCAATCATGCTCCATGTAAATCAAACCACGACAAAAACACTTCCCGCCCACCTTGAGCATGACCTGAAAGGACAATACATCACCTCACCTAACAGAGCATAGTAGTTACATCACTCAGAAACATAAATATTCCTCAACCAAACAAGCAGCATCATGACAACCGCAAAAATTGATTCAGCAAACCCCATGATCCAACCTATTAATACAGTAAGTTCCTCAAAGGGCATAATTTTTTTTTTGATTGAAGGAGTTAACTGTCTCAAAGGGCCTCTATCATGATGGAGCTTCAGTTAATCCAGGCAGGATGAGTGCCTAGCTGAACTAAGTAAAGCTCTCGACAATCTGTCAGCATCCTTTCTAAAGATTCTCATGTTTTTGACAAGAATCAATACCACTAATAAGTACGGAAGACAACCAAGTATTCATTTCAGGGACAGTTGTAAATGCCCAAATACTCCATTAACCCTTCTAAATCTACTTCCAGTAATTTAATGAATATGAAAATTTTCAAACAGAAATAACCAAAGACTAAAAGGCTAATCATCGCAAGGCTGCAACTGGGGAAGTTCACATAATCTGAAGTCATTTCTAATCACTATAATAGATTAACTATCAGACCAGACTCTTGTTATTCAGATTAACACCATTTTTCCTCAAGGGATGGCATTAGCTCCTCTAAGCCACCCAATTACGTTGAAGAAGTTACCACCAGTTACAACTAGCATAGAAGAAAAACCATCAACAAATGCATGAAATCCAATTGCATAGCTTGGGCTTCAGAACAAATCAAATCCTTCGCGAGCTTGAAAAACACTAGATGATCTTGCCGCCTTCGACCCCGACCATTTCCACAAAATCTGTAGACATAAAATCACATTTGGAGCTCCCCTCCATCGACTTTAACTGCACCAATATGGGGAAGTTCCACATACTATCAGGGTTAACTTCATCTTCAAAGCACAAAAAATATTCAGCTAGTGCTGCATAAATGACCCCCTCCACAACCAGTAATTAAAGTGCTTGACAATGATGTCTTTCCAAATGGTCTCCAATAAATTTTTTGTAAGTCAAGCTTTATCTTCTGAGAAATCCAACAGTTGCTTTCCTTCACCAGGTTCTCTAAAAAAGAATTAAACCCCACTTGCTCTGCTACTTTCACACCCCAAAGAACCGAAGTCAGCCAGCCTAACCTAAACACTGGGGAAAGTTCAAGAATAGCAGCCTTGTTTGTCTAGGCATACCCGCAATATAACTATCTGGTAGAGTGACTTGTCTATGGAGGGAGTTTTGCTGTAATAATAATAAGTGTGGCGGAAATAGGCACTATGCCAATTCATGAGCTGGGCTATTTAGCTTCAAATAAACAAAACCAAAAAAAAGGCCTTCTCTTCAATGTTGCGTTAGTCACAGGCTTGAGTTGAAACCCATACTCATTGATAATATTGTTGAACACATATTCCTACTACATTAATATGGAAGCCTATTCCTATGATATATCCACACAATCAAATCCAATCCAATCTTGTGGTTCATGCAAGCACGCACGGAACTACTGACCAGCCTAAGAAGATATATAGCAATATCATCTCTTTTTCTGAATTGAAAGTTCATAACTGATTTTCAAGAAGACAATTACCATTACTAAAAAGAGTCCCAGACGATTTCAACTCTTAAAGAAGCCAATGACTCCCAACTAAAGATGTTTGAAATATGTAGATCGATCTATATGAACATGTCACGATTTCATGTGCACAATTACTTGCTCAATGGGGAGTATTACTCCATGTAAGTGTTGCGTTAGAGATGGAAGGATATACACCAAACATTATGCAATTATGTGCATTGTTGGTATGTGGGTGCACGAAAGGAATGTGTACTCAAACATGAAAGTTTGCCCATGTAAACACACAAATATATACATGAATTCAAGTGTATAAGCGTCTATGTATTTGTGTACGTGGGTAAGAGAGAGAAAGCGAAAAGGACGAGAAGGACCTGCCTGTTTGTAGCTTCCACCGTTTCCAGGGATAAAAAGAACAGGAACACCACTCAGCTTTGTCAAGTGCTCACTGAAATTAATCTTTTTCCACCCTTCATGATACAAAAACAACCCATATTTCTCAGACGAAACATTTGGCGGTGTAGAGATTGGAATGTAAGTTGGGTACATATAAGTCATGTTACAACCATTGGGTACAGGCTTTAGCAAGCCATACAATGCAGCCAAACCAATCCAGATACATAATACAACCACCAATGCAACTCTAAGTTTCGATTTGAGTCCGGCCATCTTAGAATCAACTTTAAAGTCCAACCCAGAAATCGTAACTCAAAGTACCCAACAAGCATGTGCGAGTAATTTCACCTTAAAAACCCCCCGCCATTTATAGGAGAAGAAACTGTATCCTAAGCTATGATACAGTTGAACCAGCAAATATTTGAACAACGGAAAAGATTGCTATATCGTTAGCTTGTTATTGATGAAACCAAGTTGATCAACTAACAAACTATAAAACCATTTTCAGGAAAGAAGTCCCACTGTTGAGCCCTAAAAATCCCAGCTGGTCACAAGATAGACAAAATAAGCCCTAATTTGGGCAGTTTGCTGAACAAAAACCATTCTTCAGTGGATCATTGGTATTCAATCCAGGTAAGTACCTCGAACTTCAGCGAAATACCAATCAAACAACAACTTCGTAACAAGATGCTTCAAAATTTGGGATCCTTTTTGAGAGAAAGGGCATCACCCATCAAAAAAAAAAACGTCCTAGAATATCCACGTTGATCCCAACTCCTTATAAGAACACCACCAACTGCCAGATTCCTGAACCAAATCCCTCCATGAAAAGATTGAGCACCAAGTCATAGCATAGAATCAATAATAAATCCCAGAAAGCCCTAATTCGCTCCCCTGAATGAAGATAACCGCGAAGATCATCACTGTTGAAGAAAACGACTGCAAGTTCCCGAATCCACCATGAAATCAGTCGATTAAAGTCCCGTTTGAAAGCTCTTTGAATTCTCTGATCAATTAGAACTCTCACAAGTGATAAATAATCGTATTTATGCGAATAAATCGGAGTAAATTGGTCCAGAACACTGAACTACGAATGTAAATGAAGCAGACCGCGTCTGCAAAATCTCTGATAAAGCCCGTACTTATATTTAACCTCAAACGACCAAAACAATGCAAATTATTGTTTGACGAAAACAACCTCAGATTTTGTAAAAATTACCGATTTAACCCCTGCTTGACCAGGAAAATAACCTTTCGCACGTTGGATCACAGGAAATGTATACCATGAGATAATTTACTTTCAAAACGTCACTCTCAATATTGATTGTTGGATGTAAAATTGAGTACTATAATAAGTTTATCTAATGTTATTACATTTTTATTTTATTTTTTAGTAAGTTGATACATTTCAATTTATTAGATTTTACGTCTATTATCGTCGTCAAAATCTTTTCTCAACTAATCTGAGTCGGCTAGATGAATCTTGATCCATTATTTTACTTTACTAAAAGTCGTGCCCTCAATTTTGATAAAATTTTACGTTAGTTGTCTACCTAACACTACCTTCGCTTTTACCCCAACATGGAACAAGTTAAAGAAAAGTTTTTGTAAGAAGCTCGCAATGTAATCAAACGGTCGAGTGCACACCATTTTTCAACACAAAGTCATAAGAAATTTCTTAGACTTTGTACACAATTAAGGACACACCCTGGCTTCCAAATTTTCACATTTGATAGCTGTGAGTGATTATAATCTTCTCTTAACAAATATAATTAGTCTTATTGCATTTATTCCTTAATTAAAATTTATTAAAGTATATTTTTTAGTTTGAAGTATGTCCAATCTTCTTAGACATTTGGGTTGAATCACAAACCCCCCATATTCTCTTTCCTAGAGTTTATGATTCCATTCCACTTTTCAATTGATTTTAAATATTATTTTCTGTCTTTGTTTTTTTTGTAAATTGGTCGATATTTGGCAGAACTTCATGCCAAACAGAGTTTTTAAAAGTGTAAAACTGCAGCCATTAGATGTCAATTTTTTCCCATTTTTAAAAGCTAGGATATGTCCTTATGTTTAGAGGTATTGACTCTTAAGAAGAAAATGACACACCCTAATCATGCACTGTTTATTCAACGATTTAAGCCAGACTGAAAACCATTTCCTAGAAGAGAAAACCAAAAAAGAAAAAGAAAAAACTTGGAATTAAATTAAAATGCTACAAATTTACTATCACCACAAAGTCAAAATGGAGCCATCTATTCTCATGAACATTGTATATATCAGACTTAATGTATATTAGGATGACAATTAACTTTATTTGAAATAGGTTATCTTATCTAAAATTAACATAGCCTGAATAATTATTAAGTACATTGTATTGTGTATAATATTATTTAATTTTGAAAAAAGTACATTGTATTGTGTATAATATTATTTAATTTTGAAAAAGGTTTAATAAGGTTTTTTTTTTTTTGGTGAGTCAGTGGGGAGAGAGCACCTACCTTTGGTAGGAATCGAGCCTAGGAAATAACATTGCAAATCATCAAGTGCTAACCAATTAAGCCCAGGCTCTTTTCCTAAGTTTATGTGAGGTTGACGCCTTAAAATGTAGAATTAAGGTATACCTAAAAAATTCTTCAAACACCAATACTTTGACATTAGAAAAACATCTAATTGATCATCTTGGTGTCAAGATGATGGATATGGAGAAAAGAAATATGTCAAGTCTGAAAAATAGTACATCTTACAACACATTATCTAGACAGTCTATTTTCAATATTTTTATGTGTTTATAGATCTACTTGATTTGAACGTCTTTTTGGAGTTTAAAACTTTATTGTTAAATATAAAAATAGATTCCCCCACCATCCTAAGATTATTCGATACCAAAATTGCATCTTATGACGAAATTTGGAGGTATGTCTTACTTTTATTATTCAGCAAACCACCTTTGATTATTTGACTTTTTTTTGTTATTTTACCTATTTTTAGCTATCTATAGCTAAAAACATATGAGTTTCAGCAAATTACTTTACAAAAAACAAAACATTTAAAAAAACTAACTTGTTATAAATGGTAAGTTTGTCTTAGATATCGCTATATTGGACACTGCCAAACAACAAATATTTTACTATCAAAATTAAAATAATGAATTATTATAAAATAGTAAGTGCATCAAAAGATGACCTAGAGCTTTTTTTTTAAGCTCTTGGGTTTATTTGAGAATTAGCCATTTTAAAAATAATTTGGTGGAGAATAATAAACTTTAACTAGCTTTGAGAAGAATCGAGGGCTATCTTGCAACTGTGTCATTCTTGAGAGGGAGAAAAGCGGTATTTCAAAGTTCAAAACCTAAACGAGTTTCAAAACGAGGAAGGGTAACTTTGTTAATTTTAAGGAAAGTTTGGGCGTTTATTGTACTCCAACACATGCATTTGAATATTCATATTTCTCCCTATTTTTATTAAGAATTTTATGGGATCATGGTCCACTATTAATAAAGGAAAACACCGAGGTTATCTTTTACAATTTAAACGGACGGCCGAGATGTTACATCTGGAAAAGAACACTTTTAGCCCAGCCGTGAGATTTTAATGGCGTATTATTACTTTTTTCTTGCGAGTTAATATAAGGGCAAATAAATGTAATTGAAAAGATTCTCTGCTCCCGTGCGAACACACTGTCCACTTGCCCCTCTCATAAAAGCCAAGTTAAAGAGTCTTTCTAGGGACCCAACCTTTTTACACGTTACCTACTCAACCTAGCAACTAACCTCGAAAACCCAAAAAAAAAAAAAAAAAAGCGATCTCGTTGAATTAAAAAATCATCACATATGATTTAGTAAATTTTTATTTGCGCTATTAGCTAATACAACCCATCCCTCTTACTCGGGATGGTTATGGAAAAGTTTAAAGTCTTGACCTTTTTTAAACCACTGTGCATGAAAAAATAATGCTGCATGAAAAAATAATGTTCCAAAAATTTGTTTAATTTTTATGAAGAAAATTAAAAAGTTAGAGAACTCAATTTTTTTTTCTTTTTTTTAAATAAGTGATTTTAGATGTAACCTCCTATTTCAAACCAAAAAAACTCTCCCAACTAGCTCTCTAGCCGATATACTTACCGTACAGTATAAGCTCATGCGAGAGCATCCTTTGTGGCTGTCAACAAACCGATCTTTACGTTGATTCTAAGTTATGTATGCCACGTGGAACCTCTTCTCGACATGTAACTATGTATTATTTTCGGACACGGTTTGTATGCGGCCTCTAGCAATATGGTTTTGATCCTAACTTTTAAAGAAGGAAAAAGTTTATATAAGGTTGGTTTTGCAACTTTATAATGTAGAGCTATGGATGTAAAAATTTATTGAAAAAGGTAGTTTTAATGTTGAAAAACCCTTTGATTGATCATCTCCATATCGAGATGTATGACCATGAAAAATAAAAAGATTTTAAATCTCAAAAATAGTGCATTTTACAATATATTATCTACACCGTCCATTTTCAAGATTTTCATATGTTTATAGATCTACTTGATTTTAACCATTTTTTAAATTTAAAATTTTATAATTAGATATAAAAATAGATTTTAACATAATCCTAATAGCATTTTACAACAAATTTTTATACCATGATAAAATTTGAAGGCACACTTTACCTCTACAGCTATGGATGCATCTGTATGCTAACTGCACCCTTTAAATAATATATAGTCTTTAAGATGGAAATCATGAATATGAAAAAAAAATGAAAATTATAAATAATAATTATATTAAAAATTAAGATACTCCTAAGAACATTTTACATCAAAATTTTATACCATGATAAAATTAGAAGGCGTACCTTACCTGTACAGCTACATATGCATCTGTATGCTAACTGCACCTTTTAAAGAATATATAGTCTTTAAGATAGAATCATGAATATGAAAAAAAATGAAAGTTATAAATTGAAAATTATAAATAATAATTATATTAAAAAACATTTGGTCCGTTAGTTACACTTGGTTTTAAAAGGACTACCTATTTGTATCCATCTTTAAGATAGATGTTTTATACCTCTCAAGAGTATATCGTAGAAATGCGGTCCGGCCCGCATGAAACAATTTTCCTTTTTTTCTCAACACACATGAAAGATAGGGCGAGCAATCACCTCGACCGGGGCATCCTGTGCCTTAGCTTTAACCCCTACACGATCGGCCTGAGCCCGAATAGACCTTGGCCTAGTTAAGGCCGGATCGGGGCTAAAATACAATTTTGGACAAAAAAAAGGGCCTGGTTAGGTTGATCCAAGCTGGGCTTGGTTTTCCCTATCATGGCCAACCCTAGGGCCACATCTTGTAGCTCAGGGCCTGGGGCAAATTGTACACACGGCCTGCAACCCCATTTTCTAGCAAAGGGTCTTCTGCCAACAATTTGCCCCTGGGGCCACATTTTGGAAAAGTTGGTGAGGCAAGGCAGTCATTCTTACAAGGATGTAGTTTCTATCAAGGTTGGGCTTATGAAAATACAGTAAAGCTTCACCTGAAGAAATATTCGTGATGGTTCTAAAATCAATTTTCAACATTGATTATAAAATATTATTTTTAAAGTAAAATGGACCATTGTTTGAAATCTTTTTTCATTTTATTTTTTTTCCTAACATGACCAAAATGATCGATTTGAAGGTTTTCCGATGAAAAAACTGAAATTTTTTATGAGTTCTGAAGTGAGACTTTACTTATTTTGATAGCCCTATCAAAATATTGTCCTTTCCATAAAAGCAACCCTGACCCATTATGCATCCATCTTATAGATGGACGTTAGAAGATGGTGGCCGAACCAAGATATAAAATTGATGGTGTTAAAATTATATTACAAAATATGTTTTTTGGTTCTAAAATTTATTTAATTTAGGTTCATGCATATCAAGGTTAATATTTTCAATCCCTAAATTGTTTAATCCAAAATCCATCTCTAAAATAAATTTTGGAGAGAAGGCTTATTTATATAGGTGAGGTGGGGGGCTCATAGAAGTCTTGTCCTTACTTTTTATGCATATTATGGACAATAAAAGAAGGATGCAAATTGTACCGAGCCGAGGTTAGCTTCAAATGGTGTTGG